TATGCTTTTCACATTTACATTGTTATATATGCGGACTTTCTGAAATGATGAATGAAGAACCCATTAATCTTGGTGAAAGTGCCCAGTCTCACGAGCGAGCTACTCCAGACATAGCACAGTATAGTACAGAGACACAGATATATATGACCGCAACAATTTTACCATTTTCTACCTTATTATTCCACTTTTTTATATTGGTTACACGCCAACCAAATAAATGCAGGAAAAACACGGAACATCTAGATGTACATTTTAATGTTTAAAATATCGAATTGATGAAAATTGTGGCTTGGCTAGCCGATTTAAAGTATGTTTCTGGAAACGATTCCCTGATTTGGACGGAATGAACCATGGTAAAATAGGGTAATGATGTATTTTTTTTTTATATAATTCTAATCATTTTATTTTTGATATTTGTCGCTTTTTAACGATTTTGCTATGTTAATTAGAACCTGAAATACTAAGTGTTTAAAATATAGATCTATTTCAAGCGGTCCATGTACCGTGAAAGTTGTATAACTTCCTATACCATTTTACGGCAAAACCAAAAATTACCAAGTGCACTGAGAAAATGAAAATGAAAACTGATTAATTGTAAATATTTTAATATTATCTTAAAAATACCGTCCATGAGTTATTTGAACTGAAAATAAGTATTAGGCAATCTTCTTGTCAATGTTTTTTTTTTAAATTGTGCTTCTTCGAATCATCCCGCTTTTATTAAAATTGCGGTGAATATTACATACTTCCTGAAATTTTTTGTGATATTTTGAAAATGTTTGAGATATTTTTAAAATGTTTTGTGGTATTTTAGAAATTAACAGTTAATAACAAAAATGTTTGTGATATTTTGAAATGTTTGTGTTTGTGATATTTTTAAAATGTTTGTGATTTGTTTGTGATATTTTTAAAGTGTTCGTGTTTGTGATATTTTTAAAATGTTTGTGATTTGTTTGTGATATTTTTAAAATGTTCGTGATATTTTGAAAATGTTCGTGATATTTTAGAAACGTTTTGTGATGTATTAGAATGATTTTTTGAAATTTATGATTTGGTAAAAAATATTGTGATATCTTTAAAATGAATTGCGATATTTTTAAAAAGTATTGTGATGTTTATGAATTACGACTGTGATAAAAAATATATATATATATTGTGATAAAATATGTCTTTAAGATATTGAAATAATGTTGTGATCTGATTTAAAGAATATATATATATATTTTTAATTTTCTGTAATATATTGAAATAGGTTTTTGAAATGATTTTTGAATACTTAAAAATTGTGATACTTTGTAACTTATTTGGGTAACTTATAGTTAGGGCAATGTGCTGGGTGATATATATTTTAGTGATTATGCTTATTGCTAGGTGTTAACCAAATAGTAGCAGATGCGGAGCCAGGTTGACGTCTGAGGAGGGGTTGCTGGGGGCGAAATATCTGAGGTTGCCCACATTTCTAACCTAGTTATGAGTCATGCCCGAAAACTTGCATTCGTGGCTTTTTTTTATTAGCTTTTATTTGTAATATAGCCACTTCAGTTAGAGTCTAACAACAGCCTTCTTGAACGTTTGACAAAGTAACCTTTTGACCTAACCCTGCTCTTTCCAATCAAATTTCTGCCTTCTTCAGCGCTGGCATTTTGAGAGAGAGCGTGAAGGAATTTGATTGGTTAAAGCGGATGTCATCAGATTAGGTCAAAAGGTTATTTTAACGAATGTTAAAGAGGCCAGTATTAAGACCTTAACTAAAGTGACCAAATTAAATATAAAAGCTAATAAAAGAAAAACGGAACGAAAGTTTGGTCTAATTTCGATTCGATTGTGTGTTTATGTTTTGAATATAATCCGAACGTTTGCTCCACTCTAATTTCAATTAATTAATTGCTAAGAAATTATTTATTTTTTAAAATCCTTAAAGTTATTATTTCTTAAAGTTTTACCCAAACCAGCACAATGACACGAACTTGAACTTAGATTAGTCCTCGTTTATTCCCTCTAAAATCTAATCAGTGTTTTTATTTACTGTCATTTCATTGAAGTTAACATTGAAAATTAATGTTTATTGATGCTAAATTTATCCAATTTTTATCGTAATTTCCACTAAGTAAACAGTTAAGATTAAGTAAGTAGTCTTGAGGTATATCTAATAGAAAATTATTAAGTCGATGGTCGTTTAAACCGTCATTTTACTTATCTCTGTGTCTTTCGGTAGACAGATTTGATCATTTGGACTTTAGAGTTAATCATAAGACATAGATTTATAAAATGAAACCTGAATCTAATACTAATTTAACAATAACCTTCATTTGGAATTTATCATGAGTTACAGACAGACATAGGTTTAAAAAATAAAACTTTCTTGATTTTAAGAATAATGAAAAAAGAACCAAAACGTTAAGCCCATCTATAGAAACTATCCCTCATCATCAAATTAGTATTGGCTACATTTTGCTATAATGTACCCACTTATTCATTAAGAATTGCTCAATCACGTGACATTTTGATTGATAGCTAGCGTTAGGTAAGTTAGATTATTAAGTAAAGAAAATGTTACATATCCAATGGAAATTCTCCAAAAAAATCAGTTAGAGTATATTATAAAGTTAACATATCTAATTATCTTGCCCTAGTTAATTTTTAAATGTGTTATATATTGCTTATTGCTGATATAAAAGATCTTATTTCGTTTTTGATGATGTATTTCCATTGCAATAAATATACAAAATAATTAAAAATGATCAGTTTAATTCATTCTGCCTACTTATTGGCCCAACAAACCTTGCCCTACCCGCTCGTGATATACGTAGTGAAATCTACGACTGTCTATACTGGAAGGAAAGTTAGTGGACATCAAGTACCACCCCCCCCCCTCCCCCCCTACCTTCTGTTGATTTACAGTACCATATCCCTTTAAATTAAACAGTACAGTAACCTTAATTTCAATGTTTGGGTATTATGGTTAAGGTGTTTCAGTCCAACGCTGTATCTGACGTCACTGTGGGTATGAGAAGAGATAAGAAAGATAAAACTAAACGACTTTATGTCGATTGGGTGCAGTCATATCAACTACATTTTACTTTAATCTGTGCCTAATAACACAGATATTTATATCTTAATCACCATTAAAAATAACATTTATTTTTCACTATTTGATTTGAACGTAGGTTTTTGGCAGGTTAATGGTCTACCCAGTTAACATGTGTAACGGTTGCTACAGATTTGAACAGTGAAAATACCATTTCAAATTTATTAGCATGTAGAATTTAATCAGTATGATAAAAGGTCATTATAATATATGTGTTTTAAATTATTTGGTAAACAATAACCAACAATATGGGAACATATCTGATGAAAGTAACTGAAACCCAAACCAAACCAAAAATCTAAAAGCTATAACAAGCGATTACGTATTGCTATTAGTATATATATATATTAGTGCCTATAGCCAATAGTGGTTGTAAAGAGGTTTTCGTATTCCTTCACTGCAATAGCCACCTTTGTGGCTTTGTGTATCACGGAAGCTGTAAATGCAGCGATTTGGTTGGATTGTACGTTAAGGAATACGACCAATCAGATCGATAATCGTTAAACAATAAGCAATAATGTTACAGTCTGTCTGTCGTGGGCAGTGATTGGCTGGCATACAATCAACTCAAATCAATGCATTCGGTAATTCGAGAAATATGGTTATTGCAGTCTGGGTATAAGACGAAGTTAGTAATAGCTTGACATTGTGAAGATCCTCTCGGTGGCGTTTCTAGGAAAAATGGCCAAGAAGGCTATGCTTTCACTATGTGGCCGAGACCGTAGAAACAACACTGGATGCTCTCTGACTGATCCACCGAGTTTATATTTATAGTTTAAATGATAAGGACCTAGTTGGAGTTATCAGTATATTCTATATACATTAAAGGATTAACTCTCCTTCACAACTTACTTATTTTATAATTTTACTTTTCTTTTATCTTCCTGACATGACCCTGACTTGACATAAACTTCTCTCGACACAATATTTTTTTCATGGCATGATTTACCATGACTAGCTAGGTTTCCATGCAGCTTTGACACCATCGTATGATGAATGTGGGCGTGGTTTGAAAATGATGCTTTGACACCACATATGTTGTGTTTGACGTTTGTACGAGGCCTCATTAGGACAAAACTAAGCTTTGACACTGCTCTGCTTTTTGCGACGTTTCTAAACTTATGCCAAAAGCTCACCTTTAACAAGCTTTGATACCCCTTTGCCTTTCGCCCTTCTTTGACACTATTGGTCTATCCCATTGATTTTGTCATCAGTGACCGTGTCGGCATGCGGATATAATATATGGCTAGTTAATTTAGATAGGTAGCCTATATATCCATGTATTACCATTTGATTTATTATAATTTTACTGTAAAATTGACGAAGAGCTCTAAGCGTCAAGGGTTACGTATTCATTATATTGGATTATAGCAATTTAATTAAATAATTTTTCTTTTTATACGTCATTATTTAGGAGAAATAGGGGATTAGGGAAGCGTCAAAGGGAGATAATTTAGAGTTTAATTTATTTAATTTCACACTTGGTATTGAATAATGTCAATAAACATAACTTGAGACACTCAAATATCTCGCTTTGTATTCGCCTTTTGAAGTGTGAATACTTTTCACAGTAACTTGGTTACAGCTCCGAGGCGTGTTGCCAGGAACGTGCTGATTTCATGTGCACGGAATGGCCTTAAAACGGCAAGACCTAAACGATTGCCCAATAAAACACTGCAAGCGTGTGCAAGCGTGTTGGAAATAGTAACCACTGCCATATATTCGATTTGTACACTTCATAAGAGGCCAACATTGCAAGTTCTCTCTGTTTTCTGTTTGCTGTGTTCCCCCTTTTTGAATAGGAAGACCCTCTATTCTGTACTTCCGTTAGACTGAAATTTATTTTGGACTTCAACACGAATGCGTTATATTACGTTTCATTCACCCATGCATTGCATTTGTTTATTTTCAGGTTGTTTTGGGGGCAAATGATGATAATTTCCATTCAGTGGCTGTTCGACCTCATGGTATTTTTGGACCACGTGATCCTCACATGATTCCGACGTCAGTAGAAATGGCGCGAAAAGGAAAAACTAAATTTATTATTGGGCAAGTATTTATTATGCGATTTTCTTGACGGGTGAGCTTGGTTTGTCTTCTCTGTTGTTGATAGAGTAGGATGTAAAACTCATTTCATTTCCTTATGGTGGGTGTCGCTTGCGAGGCACGGTGTACTTGTTCTTCCTGATGCCACCTTGTAATTGTCTTTATTAGCATTCTTTATAGAGAGTCGATATCGCTAATAATGTGTATTTGGTAGGCTATTTAGATTTGTCAACTCCACAACCGTCTCCTCAGGGTGGGGTCCGTGGGGGCTGGGCCCCAGCAAGTAAGAATTAAGCCCCAGCAAAACCTTGTTCAGTTCAGGAGAGAGATTGATTCAATTGCAGTATCTTTGTACAAAATCAAAAAGATATAGATTTTGATAGTTTTTGGCAGCTCAAAAATGTCAGAAATTAGTTCTCTGGGCCTACAATTTCAAAACCCGAGCCCCAGTACCAACTCATTCCTGGGGACGGGGCTGCGTCTCCCTTTCAGAGATCTCACATAGCTAAGCTTATAATGTTATTGGGTAGCCTATTTAGGTTTGTCAATTCAGCACCCCGTTCAGAGAGTCTACGTAGCTAATTTTTATTATATCTTTTATTTTTCTTTATAGAAATGGTAAGAATATAGTAGATTTCACCTTTGTAGAGAATGTTGTACATGGTCATATTCTGGCTGCAGAGAGTTTACACCGAGACTCAGTCGTCTGTGGCAAGGTAGATAACTCGATTATACGAAATTGTTTTCTACGTGGTTTAGGAGGTTAGCATACGGTGGAAGGATGTCAAAGCGATTCTATTCTTTAAGGAAAGATGTCACGACCTGTCCTATCCACTGACCGGAAGTCTAAGACATAGATGAGTTTCTGGGCAGTAGCCTAAGTGAGAAAAGAATTTTTACTCAGCGGCCTGTTTTTTGGAAAAGACGAAATTTGGCGCCACGACCCGTGTACATATTTACCTGAATCTAAGACTTAATGTGATCAATTACCTGAGAATAATTATATAACAATTTATTTTCTTTTTCAGGCTTACCATATCACAAACGACGAACCAATCTACTTCTGGACCTTCATGACAAAATTACTGACGTCATTTGGTTACGACGCGCCAAAATACAATTTACCATATTCCTTAGTGTACTTCATCGCCTTGTTGCTCCAGTTCGTCTGCTGGATTCTTAGTCCTTTAGTTGAAATTAAACCGACCTTTACACCAATGAAAGTGGCCCTGGCCGGAACGCACCATTATTACGATTGTAGCCGGGCCAAACGAGATTTAAAATACAAACCGTTAGTCAGTCTGGATGACGCTATAGAACGTGCTGTAAAAAGTTACCCTGAGATGAGGAAAGATGCTAAACCAACTTGATTTTGGTTGATGATGGTGTTAATTTATATAATGTATTTGTTTGTCGTCCGTGCCAAAATAAATTGTTAATCAAACGAGCTTTTAAACTTTATCTATCATTGACATTATAGGCTATGTTTGTAATTCGGTATCTGAGTCTCCGACAGTCAGACGGTTCATTGTGAGACTAGATATTCGTGAATTGTAAAATATGTATATAAGGTATATAATTCTACCTTGAATGAGCAACTATGTATCCTGTTTTATGCCAATACCAGGACACATTGTTAAAAGTTTAATGCCCTCTAGCTGGTCCAAGCTGACTGTTCAGAGCAATATTACAAGAACTACAATCCAAATAATTCAGCAAATTGTTCAGATAGATGGCAAACCCACAAACAGATATACCTTTGGTAATATTTCCACCATAATCAAAGAATTATAGCTAAACATAGAGAAATTATACTGGAGGCTCCTACGAGCGGATAACAGCTCAAATGGTACTGCCGTGGATTATGATCTGAAAGGTGACCAAGTCAAGTCATATAGCATGGACAGTCAAATAAAAGACACCTAGTTCAGTGTTTAAGATAAGATAAGCGCATGGTTTATAAGATATACCAGAGATAGAGGTTAATAGTTGACATAGAATGCCGAACCATAAATGACGTCACTATCGAAATAGCTGTTAAATATCCATGCTGGACTTTACACTAGCTACGTCACAAAACGCTTAGTTTTAGTCGAATTGGACGACCAACAGACGTCTGACTAAAAATTAGAACGATGCAAATCGATGCCCTAAGTGTCCTCGATACCCATAAGAAAACCTCTTTACAATCCCTTTAATGTACATGGGTCACTAGGGAGATAAGATGAGAGAGATAAGGCACCGATTCCCATGCCACTCTTGACCAACCCTTCCTCAATCTAGTACACTGTGAAACAGTTACAAAGACCATGTGGAGGGAGGTAGTAACAGTTTGCCTGGTCCTAACAGGGGTCGCCTGCTTGGACAAGCGGAATATCGTGGAATATCTGTCACACCAGACAGAATACTCTACTCTGGTCAGTCTCGTCTCTCAGGCCGGTCTGGTTGATACTCTTAGTAATATTAGTAAGTATTGTAGGGGTTTTGAATTAGACAAGACGGTCCGGTTCATACTTTCATACCGGTCAGTTTCAGTATGCAGTAAGGTTGGTTGTTAAAGAGGCAGACTTTTGAGTAAGAATGGAAGAGGGGGGAGGGCGTAACTTGGGTCGACATTGCGACTGACAGAATCTGAGAGCAATTGGATTTTCAACGACTCCAGCAGCAACTGATGGCGTGTTAGAGAAAATGCTAAAATTACTTGATTTGGTCGACTTCGTCTCGCATGCGACTGTAAAATCTACTTTGTTGTCAGCTTTCATAATTCCATTTCAGAATTTGCAACAGTTTTTGCTCCGACCAATGCTGCGTTCGCCACTGTCCCTACTGCAACATTAGACTCCTTAAGGAACAATACTCAGTTATTGCGACGTGTTCTTTTGAACCACGTCACTAATCATTCTTTGATCTCACCGCAACTTCAAGACAACGAGAGATACGATAATTTGATTGGTGGAAGCTTCATCTTTAAAAATGACGTAAGTTGATTTTGAAAAGACTATTAAAAATGGTTTGCATTCCGGAAGTCAGCCAAATAACCTGAACTCGTCGACTCACAATGAGTTTTAGCTTTTATCGGGATTCCGGATAATTGAATGAGACTTATTCCGAATCTGACGAGTGCCCCTTTGGCGAAAAATATTAGCTGATGGTAATATTCCTCAAATATTGAAGATGGCCGCCAATATATACTAAATATTTCACATTATCACATGTTGGAATATCTATTCAAAATGGCGCCAAATATTGGTTCAAGGTAGCCTAGTATTCCTCAAATCCAAGATGGCCGCCAAAATGGCTGGAGTTTTTTTTATGTACGGTAATTGCCTGTTTTGCTCATATTTAACATTTTGAAATATTTCCAATAGGGTAATACTATTACTGTGAATGGAGTCAAAATATCCGGAACAGATACTATTGTAGCTAACGGTGTAATTCATACTATAGATGGCGTTCTTCTCCCACCAGAGGGCGATATTGTCACCTACCTGGCCAAACATGATGACAAATTTAGCGATTTGTTCGCTGCTATTGTTGTTGCCGGCTTAGATGGCACATTGAAAGGTAAAACACGAATTATGGATTGGTATTTTTACCATTTTAAATAGCAGCATGATAAAACAATGAACAAATTCCAGTATCAGAAACATGGAATAAATACAATGATGACGTCACAGTCGAAGAGGTCTTAAAACCCTATGAAAAGCTCAAAGTCCTTGAGAGTCCGAATGAATATTTGTAATTAACTCTGTTAAAATTATGCAAATTTTAACCATCTACATATTGAATATATTTAACTTGTGTTGTAGGTGGAGTGTTCACACTATTCGCTCCCAATGATAAAGCTTTTAATGCTGTTATTGGAAGTATTCCTACTGACCAAACTAAACTAGCAGGTAATATCGTCTAGTAGATTTGATTTCTTATTCTCCCTTTCTACATTTTGAAGAGGTTGCCAAGAGCTCTTCTGAAATGTTTGTGTTTAATGGACACTGATAGCAACGATTTGCACCTTTCCAATTTCCAATCAGACGTCTGTGGTTCCTGCAATTGCACTAAAACTAAGCGCTTCATTACTTCACTATCGCAAAGGCCTTTGGCTATTCTATATTTTGCGACAGGGACGCCATTAAACGATTTTTATATTCATTATTTCATTACCCTTTAATATATTCAAGATCTGTTAAAGTACCATGTTGTTAGTGGAAGTGTATTTTCAAATGAACTAAAAGATGGTCAGAAAGTATCAACCCTGACTGGTCAACAACTGACAGTTTCTATCTCAAATAATGGTAGGTATTCATCTTGGACTGATAGTTATCGGCTAGCTATGATCAGAAAAAAAACTATTCTGAACACTGACTGGTCAACAACTGACTGTTTCTATCTCTATCTCTAATAATGGTAGGCCTAAGTATTCTTCTCCGAACTGATTGATTTAATTTGTGACCAATTACTTGAACTAGCTTAAAGAACTTAGTTTTAAGCAGTTACCTCCCTTTAACTAAAAATGGTAGGCCTATCAATCATATTTACAGAAGATTTGAATTTGGCTTTTTGTCTCTGGTTGCAGTTCTTCCAGGTTTTGGGATAGGGGTTAAATACCCACGCTGAGCAGACTCCTCTGAAGCAAGAACTTGCTATGGCATCAATATTTTGAACTTTGAGTCGCAACCGCGGAAATCATCGCCCCTGGCCAGTGACTGTGGCTTCAAAAAGTTTTTTTTTGAACTTTGATTTGGTTTCGAACCCACGGTTAACTGTTAAATTTGTATGTTATGTTTACAGGAGTAAAGATTGGCGGTGCGACAGTCGTACAAGCTGACATCAACACAAACAGTGGAGTCATTCATGAAATAGATGGTGTTTTAATTCCTCCCTCCACTTCATAAATATATATTTTTAAATAAAGATAGCCTGTATCCCTCCCAACTCTTCTCCACACACACAAACTCGTCGAGCCTTGGAACCGTGCGCCTATGACTCAGTATCGCGAAGCTTCCGTGCACCATTAATGGTTATGGGTTATTCGAATATGTACGGTTTTTCATGAATATAACTTCAGGCAAGTACCCGTATGTAAACAAACAAAATGGCTGCCTTTTCAATCAAATAAAAAAAAATTTGTAATATTTTGCCTAAAATGGCATTTTTTCCGAAGATAGGACCTTTTTATGATCCCGATAAAGAACAGGAAATCTATACGGATTCGGAGGGGAGGTTAAAAGCGCGATTACATGCTGGAAATTCAGAAAACAACAACTTCGAAAGACCAATTTTAAACTGTCAAAAAAACTTTTTGAAGCCACAGTCACTGGCCAGGGGCGATGATTTCCGCGGTTGCGATTCTCAATTTGGCAGCAGTCATTTTCACAGGTAAGAGGTCAATAGTGAAAATTATAATTTATTAAAGCCTAACTGTTTTGCTATAATATTTTCAATTCTATTATTATGAAAACTATATGGGGTTCTATTCTTCTGACATTGATCAAGCCAGCCAACTGTTCGACCACAATGTTTACAACAAGGCTTTTTTGCCAATTATTTTTGTATGAGTTGACATACCAACTTTATAATAGAACTGTCTTAGATTTCTCTTGGGTTGATGAAAATACCAACCAATGGAAAACAATTCTTACGGTATTTGGAAATATGATTTTACACAGAGAGTAATTTCAGTACAAAATGGTTAGTGCTATGAAGTTTAGTCTCAACCCTATTTTTGTTTATTTCATATTCAGTGTTTCTAGAGAAAATCATCACATTTCTGATCGGCACAGCCAAAACAAAGGTTACCATGTCAATTCTCCACAAAATGGTCACCAAAATCAACCAAGACAATCACAGAATTTAAGTTTTGATGCTGAGGATTTCTCCAGTCAAGTTCCAAGATTGTCGGAACCAATGTTTTCTATTGGAGACATGAATGTGAGAGATAACTCTGACTTTTTGCTTGATATTGATGATCCACTTTCTGCCCATTTTAACAATTCTGTTGGAAATCAGTTTGAAAACAATTTTTATGATCATAATACTAATGCAGTTTTTAATTCACGATTTCGTGGAAGTGATCATTCGAGTTGTTCTTTTGGTTCTGAGAAGAATCAAAGTTTTCAGACTTCAGAGAAAAAGCGGGAGAGAAATAAGGATGTGTATTTGACGCCGCGAGTTGTTGATGCTAAAAGACTGGAAACATCCGGAATTGCGTTATGTGAACAGTTATTTGGTATAGTTTTATTACAATATAACCAGAAACCTGGTACCAACAACACTGTCAGACGCAGTCCAGCTTTACGAGAACGGAAGGTCATAGTTCAGGATGTTATACAAGGTTCCCCGGCAGACTTTACAAACAATATTCATCGGGGTGATATGTTGATATCTGTTAATAATATTCAAGCCTCCTGGATGAATCTAGGTTCTATTTTTAGAGCTCTCAGTCAGCATATGGTAGGTTGTGTTTTAGGTATTAAGGTTCTGAGTGTCCCTCAGGTCTGTAGCTTCTGAATTTTTCATTCTTTGACAGGACTTGCTTAAAACAGAATACCGGTACGGGTGATTAAACAACAGAAATATAAAATTATTCTAACAATAATAAAATATTTTTACTTTTAAATATATTTGCTCAATACAACAATATAGAAATAGTAAAACAGATCTTGAAACATGTTGTTACTTAAGAGTTTCACACTGAGATTTTCAGACAACTGACCTATTTCATAAAGTAAAATTTAATTTAAGTTTGAAACATTTGTTTAAGCACTCAATAAATACCTCTAAGTTTACAGGTATTTATGTTCATCCAGCTTTTATGTAAACGTCTGATAAAGCTGAAGATTTTGATAATAATTTTTCAGGAGACCAAATTAACATTAAAGTCACCATTGATAATTGGAACACCCCCTCATCCAAGTAAAGGCAGTACTAATCTTTATAGGAGACTGACTAACACCTCTGTCAAACAAGGGGAGAAGACTCTATCAGACTGTATTTATGGTGTATTATATTTAACACTGGATGATGTTTCTGGGGACCAGAGTGGGGATGGTACAGTAAGTATTTTTAGAAGTAGACCTTGCTGTAAATGGGTACAGATTATCGGAGAAAGGTCATTGCTAGGAGGTTTGATCACGAACCAGGTGGTAGAGGGTTGCTCATGAGCATAAGTTGTTATCCTTGTAATGCATGGTTGTTTCTTCTCTAAGTTTACACATTGGCATTCAAGCAAACAAAGTTCTTACCATCCTTTCAAGCAAGTTATCCAATGAAAAATTAACTATCTTGGTACAAACCCTCTTCATGCCTGTGCCTGTGCTTTCATAAAAATTTGCTTTACCACAATTTTACACCCTATAATTCTTACTTGTTGGGTGCATTTCCAGTTAAATTTTTGGTACAGAGCAGAAGAATATAAAATAATTGAAGTAAAGTAAGATGTAAAACTCCCTTTGCTATGTTTCAGGGAGATATATTGTACCAGTACCCTAGTAATATAGCAACTATTCTACAGACTGTACGAGGCGTGTTTTTAACTCTAGCTCATTCTTTAGTAGATATTACTGGTCAAACTGCCAAAAGGTGAGGTTTTAGAATGGGGGATTCAAAACACTTGGTTGAGACATTGGTAGCACTCGTTAGTTTGAACAGGTTCCGTTTGTCCTATTAGGGCTGAGATCGAACGGATATGTCAACATTCTGTTCCTTTTTCTGCCAATTATTAATTCTGTTCCAAAATCGTTTTATTGAACCTCCTGTTGATTCCATGAATCTCGAATGTTGAAGTCACCAAACATAGACTCATTATTTTACATGGGTCAGAAAAGGTCAACACTAAAGTGACATGATCCTGTCTAACATTCAGCCCATGGGGACGAACAGAGAATCTTTATTAGGTCTACTTCACCAAAGTAATATAGTCCCATTCAGCCCAATGGGGACAAATATAGATACCAGTACTATATATTATATATAATAATAAGAGAAATATGAAATAGTAAAAGAGCATGGCTAATTCATCTATTTCAACATAATATACTTGATTTACCTCATTGCCCACTTCCTAGCATTGAACATAAAGTATTTAGTTCCTTTTATTTGATTTCAGCTCTAGTATGTTAGTAAATGGTATATTAGTCAATATAAGTTATATAGTCAATGATAGAGATGTGTTTTTACTTGTTTTACCTGCAAATAGGTAAGTTAACTGGTTCTTCACTCCTTTCAGAGAGTTAACATCACTGTAGTCTAGTAAAGATGGGTCCAAAATAAAAAAAAAAAGCTTTTTTTTTTTAGGGATTGTGAGTAGAAGTAATCAACACAATGTAAGTCTGTATAGTTTCAATCATAATGAATTCTCTTCATCCTTTTCAGAGAGTTCTGATAATGTATTGTATTGTATATTAATTGATTTTATATTTGTTATATTATTTATTTCAGGGTATGTTTGAATGATGTAAATAGTTTATGTAGAGAAATAAGTCAGTTATTAAATATTTTATACTGTGATATGACAAGGTTAGTAAGTTATCAGTAATCACAGAAAACTAAGGACACCTTGGCAGTGCAAGCTGGGCAGGGGCAGGGAGAAGGCCTGTTAGTAGGGGCAGGGCGAAGGCCTGTTAATAGGGGCAGGGAGAAGACCTGTTAGTAGGGGCAGGAGAAGGCCTGTTAGTAGGGGCAGGGCGAAGGCCTGTTAGTAGGGGCACGGAGAAGACCTGTTAGTAGGGGCAGGGAGAAGACCTGTTAGTAGGGGCAGGGAGAAGACCTGTTAGTAGGGGCAGGAGAAGGCCTGTTAGTAGGGGCAGGGCGAAGGCCTGTTAGTAGGGGCAGGGAGAAGGCCTGTTAGTAGGGGCAGGGCGAAGGCCTGTTAGTAAGGGCAGGGAGAAGGCCTGTTAGCAGGGGAATTTGTGTCTAGTTAGTTTCAAGTGGAGCAACGTAGAGTGAAACCGAATACAGTCTAGTGTCAGTTGGATTAATGGACATTTTTTTTTTCAGTGCTTTTAAACATGCTAACTTTCATAAGTTAGATCAGATGTTGGCCTTAGCCTTTAGAAGAGTTTTGACCTCTGAAGGGTCAGGGGTCATATCTAGATTTTTTGAAAGTGAGGCTGGACTTCGGAAGCTATGGCTATCAGATGAAAACAGGGTAAGGCATTAATAACAAAAAATAAAATATTGTACACTCACTGTACAACCTGCCTTCATTAGAGTAATTCTCTTTGATTATCTGGCAGGTAAGAAAAAAGTGTCTAGTCGTTCGGATGGGACAATAAACCGAGGCCCCGTGTGCTACAGGCTGTGCACGTTATCCCTCGACAGTTGGAAATTGAAAAGAGCAGGCTAATACCGCTGTCCTGGCAAAATTTCCCTTATCGCACCCTGCATGGCATTGCCCGTCTTCATTAGCCCACATGGTGCAGAAAAGTAGGATGTAAAACTCCATTCATTTCATTTTATTTGATTATCTGTATTTGATTCTGTTAGTTTCATTATTTTGAATTTAAAACTCGTCTCAAATCCCAAGTTTTTGTGTCTTTCAGGTAATTTGTGATGAGATTTTAAGTGAGTTTGAGGCGTTTGATTTCGATGAATTCTTGGTAAGTTATAGTACTTGGCTTTCAATTAAAAAAATCACAGCTATTTTATATACGTAGTGGTTTATACGTCTAAATTTAAGAGCAAAGATATCAATTTAAAGACAAGGTCAAAGATCGGAAAGTTATTAACAACTTCCCTTCATGCACTTCAAGATTTGGAAAGAAAACCTAAAACCGTAGGGTTTCTTGGCATTGTTGTATTTGCTTATTTTCTTCCGAAGTACATAATTTAATCTATTATTATTATCACTGTTAAAATAGTACTCAATACATCCTGTAGAGTGAAGAGTATAGAAATATTAACGTTCTGTTTTGATATTTCTATTATATTATATTATAAAATTTATTTCATTGTTTATCTTCTTGTAGCCAGATGATGTTTTAGAAAAACGAAGACAATACACCTCTCTTGGTTCAGTTCTATTCTATAAGGTTTGTATTTGTTTTTTATGCTCTTGTGACCACAGACTCTTTTATTATACAGTCCTAGGATGCTGTGGTATCTCGTGTAAGATATCAGATCAAAGATTATTATCTAGAAATGAATTGAGATGAAGTTGTCAGTGTCAATGCTCTGTGATCATATAATATTTCCTTATGAAAAGTCTGTTTTTTTTATATCAATTTTTGCGTAACTTTTAATTTCTGTTTTCTAGAATTGGTTGTTAACGAGCCATGTGTCTCAATCAATCCAGTCTGATATTAATCTATACCTGAAACTCCATTCTCTATATCTTATCATGGCTACTAAAAGTCTGGATAATCTAGTCATCTGGGAGGAAATCTTCCCATCATGCTACAGCAGTCAGTGTATTACCTCACTTCCTGGTTACCAAGAACCTAGTGCTAGAAGATTTTTACTCATTGTAGGGCTGGTAAGTTTTTAATGGTTATGATAAGTGCAATTTCAAAAGACAGGTCTCGTGGCCAACTCTATGTAGACAGGAACAATTGGGCATACGTTGGCTATTATGAGCTGTAGTCTTGGTTGTTTTGTCAGTCTACAAAGAAGTCAGATAATGACCAGCTGTGCAAGGATTTTTTCAAATCAAAAGTTGTTGTAAACTCACAGCTAAGAAGATGTATGGTCATGTCATGATTCATGTATGGTAAGACCAATGGTAGTAGACAGGAACATGTTCGTAAAGATAAAAATAGGATGTAAAACTTCGTTCATTTCATTTTAGCATTAGCATATTGGCAGAAAAAAAGAGAGTGTAAAACTTGATTTCATTTCATTGGGCTAATCATGAGCAGATAAAAGCTGAAATAAAAGTGCATGTTATTTAATTTCAGAATAATTATTTATTATGTACTGTGTTAGAATCAGGGGGTATTTCCCATCTTGTTGAGGGGAATCCCAGCGTTGATAATTTCTACGTAGATCAGATGAAATCTACAATAGAACAGTTAGATGAAGACGATGCAAGTATGACAGAATGTTGTGAGGAAAGGTAGATACCATTATTATTATTTCGAAGGTTTCTACAGCACAGGCAATTAGAATTCAAATGAATTCAGTTGAAGATATGAGTAATTTAAACAGTTATTTAAAATATGGAATTTTAAGGAGAGTTATTAACCTTACATCATGGAATTGATCTGACCTAGAGTTTTGTCACTGTCTATAATGGGCACCCTTAGTTTGTCAATCCATTTTTAGGGTACAAATGTGCAATATGATATACAGGTGTTTCATTAAGATAATATAAAGACATTGGTTTATTTCAGTATTCAGTCTAACGAAGTCAGTCCAACTCTTGCCAGTTTAGATCAGTTTCTACCTCGTACTAGAACTAAGGATGACTCTCCACAAAAACTCCCTTCTTCTCCTAAAACAGGTCAGTATTATCATTTATAATTCCTGTCTTAGTTTACATTAAATAAGCTTCCCAAACATCCATTTTGATGGAATAATGTTTAAGAAAAAGAAGATACGTTTTGTTCAATGTGTTGAAATAGATCAATATTTCTAACTAATTAGCAGATAGCTACACATTCCAATAAGTCATGTTGTGCCCCTACTGGATTAGCTGTGTTTTATATTTAAGGAACAACAATACTATATATAATATCATATAACGTAGGTTTGTTTTCATAAGTCATGTTGTGCCCCTACTGGATTAGCTGTGTTTTATATTTAAGGAACAACAATACTATATATAATATCAATCATATAACGTAGGTTTGTTTTAATAAGTCATGTTGTCACTATTTTAGCTGATTTGAGCGTTATGTTGCTTTTGATGAAATATTATGTTAACTTTCCAGGTACACCTGTCAAGTCCAAATTTAGTCCACATTTTGACAGGCAATCCAGTAAGTTCAAATTTCAACAGAGCTGCATTTTGCTTACCCAGGTCATATATTTGATTGATGACTTGTCCTGATTAGCTGCATTTAGATTCACCAATTGAAGTTTATCAACCAGTTGCGTGATGTTTAAAATTTTTTTCCTTGGGCCAGTCGTTGAACCAATAATTCCAAGAACCAATGACCTATGATCAGCTAAAAAGAGTAGCGTGTTGAAATAATCTTGGCAAAATTCCGCTCCACAATCTAGAGTAGAAATGTAGGGCAATAGAAATACTTTGATTTTTATGAATTTCTCCAACTTTTTTGTTTTATATCTTAATCTTTTTTTGGGGTTTCAGCAACAAGTGATGATAGAGGATCTGATAATTCCTATCCTAATATCTCACGTCAAGGGAGCAAACTCTCATATGGTTCCAATGATTCAACAGGAAGTAGTAACAGTGCTAGTCAACAAAAACATGTAAGTTAGCTTTAATTCTTTTATGTGTGCATGCTCTTAAAGTGTGCAAGGCAATGTAAAAAGGTTTTCCAAACTGTATCAGGGAAACTGATAGTATCGATTCACACCAATCTTATTTTCAGCCAGATGTCTGTGGATTAGCAAATCTAATGGTGTCACTTTCTCAAAGGCCCTTTTCGATGTGATGTCTAAACTTTTGAAATGTAATTGTGTCTTCAGGGTAAATTGGGTCGTTTTTCATCAATGGTAGATGGTATTAATAAAAGTCTGTCAGTTCTTCACCTGGATGGAGACGTTAGTGCAGACAGCAAGGAAAATAGGTAAGAATATAGCCTTATTCTAAAGCTAGTTCGTTTTTGTTTGGATTTCGAGTTTCATTTTGCGGTTTGGATTGTTAGTACTTGGTTTATTTATTCGATTTATTTGTGAAATTTTAAATTTAATCTCCAAATAAAAGAATGAATTTTTTTTTGTGAGACTGGGTGTTTTATAATATTTTTCAGATTAAGTCGTGGAAAACTCAACGTATTGTTCAACTATATTGAATTAGATCGGAGCGAGGGTATCTTAATTACACCAACCACTCAACAATTGGCTGTTAAACAAAATATGATGATGTCACAGCTGCTGAACTCAATGTATCACTGTTGTTCGAAGATACGCCAGTCTTTTAGACACAATCAATCTTCTACCTGCAGTTCGTCACATATTTCAAAGGTTGGTTATATTTCACTGTTTTATTGTGAACATAATGCGTACCATTATTTTCCTCCTGTTTATCAGAAAAAATCTCAATGTATATAATACACAGCCAGTTCAGGAAATTCAACAAGTTGGCATAACACAGACACCATTATATTAAGAAATGAAATGAATGGAGTTGTACAACCTACTTTTCTACATCATTTGGGCTAATGAAGACGGCAGTTGTAATATTGCGTATTTCATGAAGGCAGAGAATCAACAAGTTGGCATAACGCAGACACCATGATATTGAGTTATATTGGGTATTCTTACTAGTAGTAAAGTACAGAGCAAAAGGTGTAAAACTCCATTCATTATATTCCATTGTAGAATAAACATAGTAAACAGCAAGCTAAATTTGAAAATGGCGATGTTATTAATGACGTGCAAGAAATGGGTGTTTTATTTCAAATTCCAAATTCAGCTGGTTCACCGGAGTCCAGTAACAAAAAACACCATCACCACACATCTCAGCCTCTTTCTTACTGGGTTGTAGGGTAGGTATTGATTTCAAACTTCTCTATTTCGTCAATTTTGCATAACTAATGCCCACTTACATTTTTCTGACCCCATTTTTTATGCATGTAACTTAAAGATGGCTTCCCATATTTTCATTTATGAAATGCTAAAACTTATAACTTATATGAATAGAAAGTAGAGCTGTTCAAATGACTTGGAAAAATACCTGTTTGTCTCACATATCCATAATTAATTCATAAATAACTAAATTAGAAGAAAATTATCAGCAGAATTCCAATGAGTGACCGATCAAGAAGGTCAAAAAGTATTTTTTGTTTATCCAGACTGTAAAAACATGGACATTTATGATTGGTTAAAACCCTTAATTATATGCAATAAGAACATAATGATATGATAAAGAATACATGATAATTCATTAGAAACACCAATTAATCAAATATTTTGCTTAATTTGACACTAAAAAATAAGGAAACCCATCTTCAAGGTGTAGAATTTAGAAATAAGAATAAAATCTCGCTATAGGATGTTTTGTAAAAAGGGTATTTATTTGCTAGGGTTGGAATCTGTTGATTCGTATTTTTTCTGTAAGGCTGGCTTTTTTTCATCATTTATTTGATGCTTATATTGGAAAATTTTGTCATCTTTTTAGGCGTAGAATACGGAGTGAAGACTCAGAGAAAGAATTATATGTTTGTTTTCATGAATCAGTTTCACAGTCTACAATTGAAATGGCTTTTAGACTGGGTTTTGGCTCCTGATAGTTGTTCAATTCAAAAATACTTTGGGAAACACAGTGCTCAACCAACTCTTTAATGGCGACATTAGCCTCCCGAGACTGGAGGTACAAATAGGGAGCAGTGACTCAATGGGGGGAGGAGGGAGTGACAACTGTGGAGGCTGAATTGAAAATGAGGCAACTTTATGGAAGCGTCTTGTCGCAAGCCTCTCATGAAACATCTGAGAGGGTTCTCCCAAGAAAATTTTCTTTTTTTTAAATTTGTTAAAAATAAAGTGGAGGTTCATTAGGAGTATTACCCCTTGCACCCCACCACTGCAACTCTTTGTTAGGAGGTTCACTTGGGACCCACAGTGCTCAGAATAATTCTAACCCATCAATCTGTTAGAAGGGTCAGAGAGGGATTATAACACATCAGAATCCAAGCAATTTTTACATTGGTTAGTTTGGTTGGTGATTTGGATGTAGCGCTAAATTCTTTTGTGATGAGATCAAAACCACTTCTATCATCTCTTCTTCTGAAATTATTCCATATTTCTATCATGTTTCACTTTGGCAGGTAAAACTCGTATAAACGAGCAAGATAATGAATATTCAATATATAATGTGATTTTCAAATCAACCAATCAGCACACTTCTAAATGAACATACCCTCGAGATATGTGAATATTATATGAATACGGGCAACCCCTCTCATATGAAAAAAGATTGTTTTCCTTAGTTGAAATTTACTACCATACAAAGGTATTTGAATAAAGTGAATCGCTGGGCATGGTTTAAACGAAGATGCAATCATCACTACTTTTGTAATAGAGTTTTGATCAAACTAGATTCTGAGTTTGGATTCTGAAATCCGTTCTAGATTGTTTTATTGAACTTCCGGTTGATTCAATGAAACCCGAACGTGCAGAACTCACCAATCGAGCGCACTAATGTTATATCTGACCTTGTGGTCGATCAAAAACACTTAAACCTTTTTAACTGATATTGTTATACGTTTTATGATATTGTTATTTATTTTTATATCGACTTGATAAAAGGATATACATTGTATCTTTTTTTGTTTTTTGACGAACGTCTTATCGTCAGACTTGATTGTTGGGAGGGGCAAGTGATAGGCCTATGCACAGGAGCGATGTTTTATACATGCAATAATGGAATTGGTCAGAATACTTTCAGGGGCGGGGAGTTAGAGCTTATCGTTTGAGTGGAACAATATCTCAGACCACAAGCCTGATTTGGGTCCATTTTTCTAGGATAAGGGGGCGAAAACCCCCTGTAGGGTCTATACCCCCATTTGCTGAGTAAGTATGTATATTGATATTGTTGCAGACGTTTCATATTATCATTGCCTTGAAAAATAGTCCATCGATCGTCTTGTCAGCCCAAATTTGTGTCATTCCATCATCAAACATAATGAAATCAACATAATGAAATTATGACCTACTGCACTGGGCTTATTAAGACATGCAGCTACATGCAGAGACTATATAACCTTCACGTACTAGCAAGTCAATGATGTTTACATGAATAATTCGATGTGGGCCTAGTCAGTCTCACTCTTCTGGATAAGCA